CGCGGAAAGCGCGCGAGGTCGTGCGTGTTCGCGCGAAAGCGCGCGTAGCGCGCGAAGCGCGCGAGGTGCGCGAAGCACGCGAAGCGCGCGAAGCCCGCGCGCGAAGCGCGCGAAGCCCGCGCGCGAAGCGCGCGAAGCCCGCGAGGCCCGCGAGGCGCGCGAAGCGCGCGAAGCGCGCGCGCGCGTAGGGCGGCCCCCAGGCGGACCATAGTCGATAACCCCACTGGCTGATCACCATGGGGTAAGAAGATTCGGCACGGCGAACACCGTGTGCCTCTACGCTGCACTGTGCAGTGGGCTGAGGCGTATACGGAAGACCCCACTGGCTGATCACCATGGGGCAAACTGGCTTACCACGGGAGGGGTCGGCACTGGTGATTTACTTTCGGTCTTGGTCAACACAACAGTCGGACATCGACCGCTTTGGCATCTTGAATAGCCCGTCCGTCCTTGGAATGTCTGCCAAGACTACTGCGAGCATGCTGACAGCCTATCTACTGGTGCTCAACTTACTCAGATGATAACGTGATGGTGATTTTGACTTCTGGCACACAATCGCATTTTGCGATTCCCCCACTCGGCTTGGTGCTGCATTGGCTCTGAACAGGGACTACATTGACGAGCTTGGGTACTGAGCGCGTGGGGTCTTGTTAGTAGTCCCGCCGTCCTTTCTTGGTTGTGGTTGGTTGAACCCTGGCTCTTCTTTCATGTAAAAAGAATTTTCAGCCGCAGCTGGCTCCAAGTCCTCTTCATTCTCACTCTAACGACGGACTTCGAAGAGGCCTCGATGTAAATTTTGATGTTTAGTTTGGATGATTCTGAGCTTTCAAAGATTTGACGGCATGAGAAAGTCCTAAGAAGCCCTCTGTGATGCCTCGAGAGGCTTAGAAGACTTAGAAGCCTCAGACAAACTGACGTTCACCAGCTTTCGCTGGCATTGGCCTTTCCCTATAGGTGGATGGCAACTCCGGAGCAACACGCTTAAATGCCTCCAAGCCCCAAAAGTAAGTTTCATTCTACAATGTCCAGTGGCGACTCTGCGCAAATAGCACACTTGGGCTGTGGTTACTTCCAAGTCAGAGAGTTGTACAGGGGCGGTTCGCCCACGTTTGCTTTGGGGCTAGCTCTTGGCTGCCCGGAGCAAGCTTAGCCCTGGGTGTGGTTTGCCAACCCTGTAGCCAAGGAATGCTGAGGTCAGCTTACGGGCTGCGCGCTCGAGCGCTGGAGGATGAAATTCAAACCCAATTTTGGAATCTGTGCCACCAGATCTACGGTCTGGAATTGCCTGACATGACTTGTGCATGTTTCGATGGTGATTTGTTCTTACACTAGGCATGGTGTGCATGTACATAGTTTCTGGGATGTGATGAAAGTCGTTCGTTTGTCGTTGAACGTTGTCCGTTTCTTACGCGAACCCTAACTAAGTGGGACAACCGTTTTCTCTTCGAGGTGAAGTGCCTTCCGCCTGTAGGGAAGTGTAGACAGCTGGAAAGTCTGCTGAGAGTTTGGGAAGGGTAGAAAGTGTTTGAAGAGACTTGGTCTTGTTTTGCCTTGTACCCGAAGAGCCTCAGCATTGGAAGCCTGCAGTGAGTGAAGCCGCCTCTATGCTTTGGCTCAAGATGAGTAGTTGGCTCAAGTGTGGAGCCTTGGCTCAAGGAGCCTAGCTCAAGGCTCAAGGCCACGAGCTTCTGCAAACGTCTTTCGCCTGAAAGTGAAAAGGTGGCAAGCTTGCTTATTGTGTGGGTTGTGGGGTTTGGTAGTTTCCCTTGTTTCCTTACCTTAAGTGCGTAGGGTTTCTGAGGCTGCTTTGCGTTTCTACGGAGCCGGTCAAACCTCTTGCTCAGTTTTGCTCTAAGCCTTGCCAGTCTTCCCTCAAAACTTAGAACAGCAAGTAGCAAGGTAAAGCGTGAACTAGTTTGGAGACGGAGTTTTTCCTAACAGTAACAACAATGAAAACTTCCACCCCCAAGTGCGAAACCCACATTCCAATTTTATCTGCACAATCTAGCGTCCTCTGAAAAGAGTTCGAATTTGGGTTCAGAAGTCGATTGAGTTCAATAGAAAGTGACCTAGTGGCCCAGCCTTCAGATCTTTGACTCCTTTAGGGGGCTCAAGCCTTCAGATTTTCTGACCCTCTAGGAACCCAGCCTTCCTCGAGGGACCCAGCCGAAGGGTTTTAACCTTTTGACTTTTTGGGGGATTCAGCTTTAAGAACAGTCCTTTGACTCCAAAGTCAGAAAAGGACATTGGAGCACATACAAGTTTCAAGAATGTCTGCTTTTCAGCTTGTGTGCATGTGTGCGTTGTGTCAACATTGAGAATCTGGACTCAAGACCTCCTGTAGCAAGAAGAATGATCCTGAACGTCAACAGATCTGGCTTTTAGGGCTGGACCTCTAGAAGGGTCCAAAAATCTGGCCCTTAAGGCCATGCGCCTCGGGGTTCCAAGCTGGCTGGTCCCGAAGAAGGCTTTTCAGGCAGGGCCCCGATCTGCAAGGTGAGCCCGTACGAGGGATCAAAGATTTGGCTCATCAGGCTCTTAAGGCTGGGCTCCTGGAGGTGAAGAAGATCTGGCTCTGAAGGCTGGACCTCTCAAGGGGTCAGCCCTCGACAGGTCAAAAGTTTTGGCTTTTTAAGGCTGCGCCCCTACTCAAAAAGCTGGAGAGGTCAAACGATCTGGCTCATGAGGTTGTCCTGGAAGTGTCAAAAGTCGTGAGGCTGGGCCCCTCGAGGGGTAAACCGATGTGGCTCTTAAGGCTGGGCCTTGGAGGGATCTCCAGAAACATTAAGTCGAAAAGGGGCGGGACACGGATGATTGAAAACCCTTCAGAACTGTGCGTATGTGGAACCGCGGTGTAAGCTGACGCCCTCAGTGCCTCCGGCTGTGCTGACCCCGCAGCCAGTTAATGTTTGTTGGCCTTCTTTCACCTCAACTGTTGTCCGCAGCGTTTTATGCTTCCGCCTGCCCCGTACCAGGCATGGGCGGTTCACATTGTTCAGGGACGAGAAAACCAAAGTTCTTATTCGTGGACAATTCTTGAAGGTTCCTTTCGCGTCTATAGCTTAACAGTGTGCAGCAAATGTGAAAGACTCTGCGTTTTTAACGAATCAGCATCCGTTAGCCAAACCCTTGGCCCCAGCCTTTGTGCGATGGCCTCAAGCAGCCCATCAGGCGCGCTCGACTGCGAAGATTGGGCATGGCTGCAGCGAGTGCAGGCGTGGATCGAACGGAACCGGGAGTATGCCCCGCGCAATTTGGAGGATGCATTGAGCCCGCTAAGGCTTTTGCTTACACCGGAGGAAAATCAGCACCTCGACGCGACACTACGCATTTTTAAGAAAAAACTTGAGCGGAACTTTTTGGGCCGAAGGCACAAGATTGCGTGCAATGATCACAGAGAGGTGGTTGAGGGTCTGGAGGCTTACAACCCAGAATATGCCTGCGCAATTTTTGTGTACACCTTGGATCGCCCCAGTATCTACAAGCTGGTGAATGGTGAAGCTTCGTCAAAGGAACGGGGCTCCCACAGCATTGGCGGCTCGACACGAATTAACATCGTGCTCCCCTTCATATTGTTTCTGCAGGAGGCATTAGAAGCCTTGCCAGAAAGCCTCGTTCTTCGCGACGGCCAGGTGCTCTGCTGCTGGATCCACAACTTTAAAATTCCGGGAGCAGATGAAGTAGTAGATAGGTTTCCGATTCACAAGCATTTCTACCACTTCGCGTTTCCGTCCTCTACCAGGTGCCAGTATCATGAGCTTGCGAGCAGTTTCCTGCACCCACACGAGTCTGGGGTCATTTTTGAGATCAATATTACCCCAGAGGCACCAGCCTACGACATCGATCTCTTCTCGTATTTCACCCATGAGGATCCCCCAGAGGGATTCGGTTGGCGAGAGGTGCTTTTTGGTTTCCTCTCACTTTGGGCCGTGAGGGACCACGTGCGCAAGGGCATGTTGTTGGAAATCGGTGATGGGGAGCAGTACTCCGTGGACATCATCCCGGTGGAATCTGTGAAAGCACCCCGCTGCGAGGCATGTGCTCGCAAGGTCTACCCGCGACATCAGCGGGAATTCTGGCTGAGTGAGAGCAGTTGCTGCCATGACAAGGTTGAGATGGGCCTTTCGCTGGGCGATTTGCCGCGTTGGCTGTACAAAGATGAAGCAGAACTGTGTACGGCTGACCTTCAGGAATTTGCCAGCCAGCTGAACGACACGAAGCTCCGACACGTCCGGAGGTTGCAGCTGGACTTGCCCGTGGAGCTTGAAGCAACCTTCCCAGATGTTGCCTTGCAAAGCTTTGAGGCGCAGCTGCAAGATCATGATCCGCCCAAGATGGTGACCTTCAGATTTGTGCGGGGCTCAGCGCAGGTTTCGAATGTTTGTGAGGCGAGAGGGGTGGTGGCAGGCAGTCAAAAAGAGAGAGAGTGAGAGTGAGAGTGAGAGTGAGAGTGAGAGTGAGAGTGAGAGTGAGAGTGAGAGTGAGAGTGAGAGTGAGAGTGAGGGTGAGGGTGAGGGTGAGGGTGAGGGTGAGGGTGAGAGTGAGAGTGAGAGTGAGAGTGAGAGTGAGAGTGAGAGTGAGAGTGAGAGTGAGAGTGAGAGGAAGAGCGAGAGAGAGAGAGAGAGAGAGAGAGAGGGAGATAGAGTGAGAGAGAGAGAGGGAGAGAGAGAGAGAGAGAGTGTTGGGCAGTGATGGGCAGTGGCTATCGTAGCAAGTTTCAGAATGACTGCGGTGGCGAAGGGCTGCATGTAGGTGCAAGACTTGATTGAGCAGAGTCGTTTAGCCCGAACACCGCCACAAGCAAAGCAATCGCAACAGGTCTTGCCCAGGTGCCAATAAGCGAAACAACTATAATCTGCACTCCTTTACCACGCTTGTGCTTCTTGGTTGCGTTTGGGCTTTAACTCGTTGTTGTCCATCCTTCACCCCAACGGCATGAGTGATACTTTTGAGGACCCAAATTGTACATGAAAGCTCGAAGCGGCACCTGCGCGCGCCAGGACTCGGAGCAACATCGCCAGGGCCTCATCGCCTGTTTTGTTCATCAGAGTCCGCCTGCAGAGCCAGAGTGAGAATGGCCCGAACCGATGGGAAGGGATTATGTAATAGTTTCAGCGCTGCGCGACCTGCCTCGGCCTGGCCCAATTACGCTAGCCCGAGACACCCATAGGTCCGCAGGGGGGTGGGGGGCGGGGGTGTCGGGGGGGCAGGGTGGTGGGGGGTGGGGGCAGATCGATCCCGGTTGCCTTAGGCAACCGGGGTACCCATTCCAGGCAAAAAAAGGGGGTTGACATGTATCTTCGGGCAACCTAGACACCTTCGGGCCTCGGCGGAAATCAGCATGCCAAATGTATGAAGATGCAGTGCCAGCATGTCTATGAGGCCCAGCATGTCTAGGTTGGGGGGTTGGTGCACTCACCGCTCTATCCTTCTCAACTTTCTCCATCTGTGCTGTGGATGTGAAACAAGGTAGGAGGGAGCGCCTGGAGATGGACGCACCTGCGCGCCACAAGCCTGGACGCCAGGACTCGGAGCAACATCGCCAGGGTCTCATCACCTGCTTTGTTCATCAGAGTCCGCCTGCAGAGCTTGAAGGGTAGAGTGAGAATGGCCCGAACCGATGGGTATGTTAATAGTTTCCGGCATCCTGCTAGTGGGGCAGATGTTGTGCATGCCACTCCCCTAGGTGGCAGGCCCGCTCGGCTGTCTTCTCAAACTCAACATGCGCAGACGAACCACCAATCTTTCTCAACTTTCTCCATCTGTGCGATGTGAAACAAGGTAGGAGGGAGCACCTGGAGAAGGAGCTGTCGAATTGGCAGATCTCCGGCAAGGCGCCGCTGCCCGTGGTCCGTGTATGCTTCGTCGGGCAGGGCCGGGCTGGCAAGACGACCACCCTCAGGCAGGGAACAGCCGCTGCAGTGGCCGTACTCGATCTTGGCTCTTGCATGATCGCGTTTCGGCAAACAAAGACCCCCCATGCCAGGTGCCAGTATGAGTCTGAGCATTCATCCCTGAGAAATCGCCTTAGTTTATGCATGCATTTATGTGCACAGTGTCCGCAGGTGCTTGAAAGGCGAAGTCCCAGAGGAAGGGCAACAAGATTCCACCTACGGAGTGGAGGTCTGTGCCGTCCAGGCACAGCATCATTCCTCGTCTTCATGGGACCGCTGCGAAACAAGTACGTTTGATGCCAGTGCCGTCAGCGCCATTCGGCAATCCCAGCGAAAACAGGAGGACCTGAGCAGGGAGGAGGTGCGGAGGAAGGCTCGGGAGGACCAGCAGAAGCAGGAAGAGCCGCCGAAGGCCCGCGAGGCCCAGGAGGTTCAGCAGGAGGAGTTGAGGAAGGCCCAGAGTACGAGGTTGAGAAAGGACGAGGAGCAGAGGAAGGCTGAGGAGGCCCAGCTGCTGAAGGCCCAAGAGGCCCAGCAGAAACCGGAGGAGTTGCTGAAGGCCCCGGAGATTCAGCAGGAGGAGCTGAGGACGGCTCGGGAAGCCCAGGAGATGCTGGGACCACGAAAGATGGACGACGGCCTTTTCTTGGAGATCAACAAGTCTGATTATGAGGATGCCTTCCATCCTAGACTCCAGTGCTGGGACCTTCCAGGACATGCAGGGTTGTCAATGCTGGTGCGCGTTCTGGACGGCCCGTTGTTCTTGTTTTTTTGGTCTGCTTGTGTAAGATTTGTGTCAGCCAGGACAAGCAGAGTACGCACAGTGCAACCTCCTCTACTTCCACGGCAAAGGCATCTATTTGGTGTTCGTGGATGCTAGGCAAACCCTGGATCAGGCTTGGCACGAGCTCCAACTCTGGTTGTGGTTCGTGTTTCACGGTGCTACAGATGGCACGGGTGCCGCCAGCAACGACACTGCAGCTCCACCGGTCCTCCTGGTTGCCACAAAGTGGGCGAGGAAGGGGTTTGACGAGGAAGAATTGGATACTCGGATTGAAGAGCTCATGGATATGCTGCCAAGGTTGCGAGACCAACTGCAAAGAGGCCCAGGACCTTCCGACTGCCGGTCCAAGTGGCTTTTCCCTGTGGAGAACTTCGCTGAGGACGTCGACGGCTACATCCGCCCGCTCCGCGAGCGGCTGCACGCGCTGTCTACAGAACTTCTGTTGCCACAGCCACCCCGGACAGACGTGGTAAATGCGAAGCCGCACGCGGGCCTGCAGTCGCAGCTTTACCCTGTCGCCTGGCTGAGAGCCCACGACCTGCTCACGGAGCTTGGCGGCGGCAAGAACGCCAAGTCCCCAAAAGAACAGCTCGAAGCACAAGCGTACGAGGCTCTTGGTAGCAGGATGGACCTCACAACAGGGTTCAAGTTCAACCTGACGTCAAACCAGGAGATGCAGACCTTCAGTGGCGAGAAGATGGTCGCACCAAAAGGTGCATGCGTCGAAGTCCTCCGAATTGACAGGAACAGCACGACTCTCGACGTGAATGTTTCCTGCACCTCACTGGGGCTGTCGCAGGTGCGGGAGCTCTTGGAAGGCCTCAGGCCAACACCGATAAGCGGAACCGAAGTGTTGCACGTGCTGAGGTTGCTTCACAGTTTAGGCACGCTCCTGTGGTTTCAGGAAAAGGGCTTGGAGGAGCACGTCCTCTTGGACATTGGAAAGGTGGGCGTGGCCCTTGCAAAGGTCATCAGCCTTCGTTTCTGGGCTGAAAGCCGCCTTCAGCACTCGGAGCACTACAAGCAGGGGTTGCGAAAGAGTGCAGCTCGCGTGCCCAAGACAACCCTTCGCCGCTTGCACACCGACGGCGTGGCCACGCGCGAGCTGCTGAATGAGCTGTGGAGGGGAGACTTCGCCCCAGGAGAGGCAGAGGCAATGACCGCTATTTTGCTCAAGACCATGGAGCAGAAGGGGCTGCTCTTGAGACGGGCCTTTGAGAACGAGTTTGTAGTGCCCTGCTGCCTGCCAAAGGTTGCAATGATGCCGGAATCGCCACAGAAAAACGGTGAGGTCTGTTACATGGACATGCGCGGCCTAGTCTCTCCGACCATCTTGGCAAAGATTGCGGCGCAGGTGTGCGAGCAGGTGCGTGTATCCTGCGGCACGGGCAAGCTGAGCCCCGGCCCCCCTCAAATCTTCCGGAATCACGTCGAGCTGCGCTCAGAGACGGCTGTTGCAAGCCTCACCCAGCCTTCTGTCGAGGGCACGCAGCTCCTCAAGATTCGTGTGCAACCGAGCTCGTTCTCCTTAGAGCCTGACGAGGATACAGAAGAAACAAGAGTTTTGAGCGTCGAAGACATTGTGGACTACTTCTTTGCTGCGTTGGGCATGGATAGGAAGGAGGAGCGCAGCATCAAGGTGTACGCTCGCCAGCACATCCCGTACGATCCAGAAGTTTTCTTCAGTGCCTGCGGCCAGAAGGACTGTTATCCTGCAAATTCGCGTTGTTGGCGCTGCCAGCTCTTACAAGAGCGCTTCCTCCCCGACCTAAGCGACAAGCTTCGGGACGTGGTAAGGCGTGTCTCCTTTCAAGGAGACGTCCGCCCTGCTGGAAGTTTCAAGTTCAAGAGCACAAGCTTCCCATGTGATGTCGATCTGGAGGAGTACGTCGTGCTCAGCACGGACGATGAAGCTGCCGCGCTGTCCCACCTGGCAGGTCGCCTTCAAGAAATCTGCAAAAGATGCAGCCAGCTGGGAGCAGACATTCTCTGGGCCGGACTCAAGGCGGGGAGAAGCAACCCTGCGAGCGATGCCAAGGATGCCAAGTTCCTCACTTGGACCACAGAAGATATCAGCAAAGGCAGCAAGCCCCGTTGTTCCCAAGATGCCCAGACAAGGATCTCTTTGTCAGAGGCTCTCAAGGAGGGCAACAAGTCGCGATCGGCCTTCATAAGCATATTCGCAAAGATCAATCTGTTCAAGAACCAGGCGTCTGCACCTCGTTTCTTCGAGGTCACGAACGTCATCCGCTTCGGCTACATGTGCGGCAGCCAGATCAAGCCTGTGACGGGAGAGTGCGACTTCCTTTCAGTGGTGGAGGAGCAGCTGGAGGGCTACTGCGGGCCAACTCCCAAGGCCGTGAAGTATGCTGGGGCCTCGTCCTGCCAATCAGCCTTAGTTGGGTTCCGCACTCTTCCTGATACCGTTAGCTTGCTTTGAATTAGGTCTCGTGCCTGCGCCGCCTAGGTCAAACGCCTCTGGGAGAGGGCGATTTACTTGCTGCAGCGGAACATGACAGTAGACGCTAGCCGCGTCATGCTCGAGGCTTTGCAGCCGATGTTGAGCCACTGGGTGGCAGAGATGGGCCAGATCGCAGCTCATGCGGAGACTTTGCGAAACATGCTGCAACTGGAGCTGTGCGACGTGCATGACGCAGTCCGCGAGGACTTGGAAGTCTTCGGCCCAGACCTGAGCTTGGCGGACTGAGATAAGCCCCAAAAGGAAGCCCCTCTACTACCAACTAACTTCTACATTGGTACCACATCTACGGAGCGTGTAGCAAGCAGGGGCAAAGGGACGTCGGTAAGACTCCTGTAGCCGAGGTGGAAGCTTGAAGAGCATGAGGCGGCAGCTTGAGGAGAAGGAGCGCGGGGTCAACAAGCAGTGGCCATGGGAGGTCGCCGCAGCGGCAGAGGCTGCGGAAACTCTTGATTATCTCATCGGGCGTCTCCCATGCGAGACCAAAGGTGATGACATGCCCACGTGCAGGCTTCAGGAGGCAGAAGAGTTGTTGGAGGCGTGCGTGGAGACTGTTCTTGGGCACTGGCTGCGAACGCTTCCAAAGGTCACGCGACCGCTTCAAGGAAATTGGAGGTTTCCCTCAGACCATCTGCCCATTGCTGCTGCAGTTCATCTGCAAGGTGCAAAGCTCACCATTAACGCCTGCTCGTGGAACGTGCTCAGTGAGGCCCGAGGCTTGAACGGTCCCGTAATGACAGCCGATGACGATGACGAAGGTCGCCAGGAACACATCGTCGACGTTGTCGAGCAGATGCTCCTGCACGAAGCATATCCCAAACATGTGTTATGCCTCCAGGGGTGCCGGCAGCAACTGCTCCGAAGGGTGAAGCAAAGACTCGGACGCGAAGATGTGCAAACCGACTTTGCAGTGCTCGCGTCCGGCAGCAGAAGTGGCCAAGAGCATCAACAGGCACCCCAGACAAAACACATTCGTGCAGCAGCCAAGACGTGCTTCCGTAATCTTCCCGTCAGGTCATCATCTATGACACAGCCTACCTGACACTGCAGTTCTTTGATGCCGAGCCCCTTGCCGACAGCAATCTCAGGAAGGCCTGCCGATTCTATGAGTCACCAGGTAGGTAAATGCATCTGCAGGGTTGGAGTTGCGGCGGCTCAGGGTGGCTCCTCTTCTTTGGCGCATGCCTTCCATCAAAGTCTGCACATGTCTGCACCCAGAGGCCAATATACGAGAATACAGCCCGTCTTGCGCAATTTCAGTCAAAGCCGCTACAAAACAGCACCGGATGGGGTGAATGTCTCGATAGAGTTCGGCGGCAGCTGTGTGCCAGGCCATGGAGGAGTATCAATTCGGCTTCCAGGGTAGAACAGACAAGCTTCGAGTTCTGGCCGCGCTGCCCGGCTGCCGCAAGACTTTTCCGAGCCCGAAGTGGGGACTTTCAACGCCCCGCTTGCTCTTAAAACATCTCTCTATTTCCTGAAAGCTGTACACCCTCAATCCCGAGCCTTCAAGTGCACAAGCCCGACCGAGAGCCCCCGATCTTGCTCAGGCACCTGCCGGATGATCCTTCAACTTTCCGACCATGGCGCCGCCGCGAGTTCTCAGAGTGCCTCTGCAGGCCATGCGGGTCATGAGAATTTCAAGCCGACGCCTCCGGGATGCTTCGGGAAGTTCCTTCTTTGCCTGCGCTTCCACATCGGGGTCCTTGGAACAATACAGAAAACAAGAGGATCCCCACAGCAGCTCAGGAGCTTGCACTGCCGTAGCTTGCGCTCTGCAGGTATGCGGACTTGGCCCAGATGCCCACGCTCCTCCTGGGTGACCTCAGCTTCTCGGAGCAGGAGCTCGCGGCTGTGTTCTCCGTGGCCCTTGATGATGTCAGAGCATAGTCAGCTTGCATACAAGAATTCCAACCAGCGTAACCAGACGTCTTCGTACCTGTCAGGCTGTTGGCCCGCTGCTGAAGCACCGCGGCCATAGCCCTGATGCTCGCTTTGTACCCATCCCCTATCCGACGACCATCTGCGAGGCGGCGTTGCATGTCATACAGGGCAGCAGTCTCTTTCTCTTGCATTGCTTGGTAGAGACCCCCAGCTGGGAGCGCATCAAGGGGGAAGCTCTATCTTTGCAAGGATCGTTGCAACCAAAAGTGCCGAAGACATGAGTGTCTGCCAAGATCGTAATCTTTGAGCGACGCGCAGCGTTCACGGTTTTTGAATGTTTGGATGTGCGTCGTAGCGTTGATGCGTGCTTCCCTCCATTAACGTCGATACTTGATCGCTCTTCGTGGCCTCTGCGTGTGTTGCAGGGCTCGCTGCTTCCCAAGCGCACCGACATTATCGCCTTGCTCTCCCCAAAGGACATGATCCAGGCCCGTGATGTGCTTCCACAGTTAAGCATAGGAGAGGGAAGTGGCCAAATCATAAAATTCGGAAAAGTCGGGCAAATAGGACAAACCTTCGAATCCAAGTGCACTCGCTTCCGCCTATGAATGCAAGACCTCCCAATTTTCAAACATGATTTCCGCCACCCCCTTGCGCCCAGCCCGGTGCTATGGTTGTTTGAGAATTTGGGGGGGGGGGGGAGTGTTGAGGGCCTCCACCCTTGAGTTGAGACTTTTTAAAAGTAGGTTTCAATTAGGGTTAAGGGCTTAGGGCTCAGCCTTTTCGTTCTCAGGGTTTTAGGGTTTAGGGCTTAAGTTTCAGGGTTTAGCTAGATCTCTACAAAAGGCTGCGCCTGGTCGCAGTCACCAGCAGATCTCTCCCGCATTTCGGCTTTGGGGTTTAGTGTTTCGGTTTAGGGAATCTCTTGCTTTTAGACTTCAGGGCTTCGGGTCGAGGGTTCAAGTGCGACCGGGCCCCAACAAACATTGGACTCCCCAATTTTAATGTTTGTGTGTTTTGTTTGTATACATTTTGTTTGGAGGGGAGTTTGTGTTGGTGGGAAAGGACTAGAGGTTTGTCCCTATTCAGAACTTCGGTCCGCCCCGCCTTACAGTGGTCGCTGAGCCCTGTGACCCAAGTTGCGTTCCAGGTGCCAGAGGCCTCAAGTTTAGGAGGAGCAATTGAACCGGTGTGTTGCCAAGAGCGGCTGCATGGTCACAAGTGCTTTGGTGCAATATGGCTACGCCCACGCGTCATAAGGAGTCCGCAGCTGTGGGAGTGTACGCAAGGGCTCCACTGGGAGAACATGACATGGGCAGTCCTGTTCCTCGAGTTCCGACCCCCGGAGCCACAATACATTGGTCTGGGCAGGCCGAACCGCTCGCAGCGAACAACGTGGTGCCAGAGCTGCAAGAGCAAGTGGACCTGCTGCGTTCGAGGCGTGTTCAGTTCGTACAACTTCAAAGGGGGGGAGGCTGCGGGTGCCTCGGAGGAACCCAAGAAGCATTCCAGGAGCTCTGCTAGTAGCTCCTAGCGCCGGCAGGTCATTGGGGCTCGCCGACTGTGATGGCCTAGACTGGACCCTGGACCTGGAGCCGTCGGAGAGCTTCAGAGGCTGGAGCGTGGCGACTTGGTACTGGTAGGCATGCGCAAAACCCCCTTCTTTCGGAACTCGTGGCAAGCAGTCGTGAACCGATCTCCCCCGTCCGCTCATGAGTCCCTTCAGGAGCCGTCGACAGTGACATGCCCCGTCCCCCGCACATGGAGGCGGCAGGGAACCTAGCTCAGACCAAACGCCCGCCCATTGTTTTAACACACATTTTGTACAGAAAATTATGGTAGAGTATATATGTATATGGTACCCCCCCACGTCTTTCCTGGCCATCCATATGTTTTGGTCTTAGATGCGGGTCTGTGAAGGTGCAAAATTGCCCAAAATCACCAAAATGAGCAATTTGGTGAAAACCTTTCGGTTTCGGCGAAGGCGTAAAATTGATCAACGTCAAAAAATAAGCAATTCGGTGAAAATCCTGATATTTTGGCCTTAGATGAGGGTCTGTGAAGGTGCAAAATTGCCAAAAATCACAGGAATGAGCAACTTGGCGACCTTGTGTTTTGGCCTTAGATGGCGGTCTGTGAAGGCGCAAAATTGCCAAAAATCACAAAAATGAGCAATTTGGTGAAAATGCGATAAGGGTCTGTGAAGGCAACCAAAATCATAAAAATGAGCAATTTGGTGAAGACCTTAGATGGGGGTCTGTGAAGGTGCAAAATTGCCCAACATCACCAAAATAAGCAATTTGATGAAATCCTTATGTTTTGGCCTTAGACGGGAGTCTGTGAAAGCGCAAAATTGACCAAAATCACCAGAATGAGCAATTTGGTGAAATCCTTATTATTTGGCCTTCGGTGGAGATCTGCGAAGTCTCAAAAAATGATTTAAAACCATAAAACTTTGCCATTTGAGACTTTCCAAGGTCGCCAAACTACCGAAAGTCCCTATGTTTTGGTTTTGTAAACCCAAAATGGTCCAAAATCACCAAAACACGCCATTGGCGAGGTTCCCAAGGCCGCCGAAGTAGGGGAAATCCCATGGATTGGTGGTCTGTCAAGGCCCAGAATAGCAAAAATCACTAACACGAGCAATTTGGTGAGTTTTGAACGTTGCAAAACTGGCGAGAATCCTTATGTTTTGGCCTTAGATGGGGATCTGTGAAGGTGCAAACTTGTAAAAACAAAACATAAAAACTTGCCATTTTGGTAGGAGAGAGAGGGTCTCTTAGCTTCCATTCTGTTTTCTTTCTTGCTGAAGAGAAAGGAAAAAGAGAAGAGAGAAAAGGAATTTACGTGTTCTTCCTAACTTGGTCTTGCCCCTCCCTCTTCTCTCGCCCCTCACCCTGAAGGTTCCAGGAAGTCGTGACAGGATATTTGCTCATAATATTCTCGCGTCCTCGGGACTTACAGTAAATGATTCGTCTTCTGTGTGTCGCTTTCTTTTCCTTCTTTCTTCCTTCCTTACCTCGATTTCGCCCATTATGCCCTACCCTGCCTCCTTTCAAATGAACAAGCAAGTGAAGAATAAGAGAGGAAGAGAAGCGATTCTCTCCGTCTCATCAGCGGCGGCTGCCAATCACTTTTCCCTTCGCTTAATCTCGCTCGCTCTCTCTCTCTCTCTATCTCTCTCTCTCTCTCTCTCTCTCTCTTTCTCTCTCTCTCTCTCTTGAAGAAGTTGAACTGGAGATATGATCCCTTGCCTCTCCCCGCCCCAAGCCTTACCCCTCCCTCCGTTCGATGCCCTTCTAAGAAAAAGCAAGAGAAGAACAGGCAGAGGAAGAAGGACTTCCTCCCTTTCATTTTGGCTTTGTGTTACATGTCGTTTTTGCCCCCTTTTCCGCCCTCTCTTTTTTAAGGAAAGGAAGAGGGGAGGGGTGGAGAGGCAATGGATGCTACTGCAAGCTCTTGCCTCCACAGGCAAAAACGGGATGGGAAAAGGCCTCGCTCGTGGCTCCGTCGCTTGCTCTTCTCTGCGCCCTTCTTCTGCCTTGTTTTAATTTTCTTGTTCACTCGATTTCGCCGACTTTCTCCGTCACTTGCTCTTATCTTAGTCTCTTTCTCTTTCTCTTTCTCTTTCTCCTTCTCCTTCTCCTTCTCTTTCTCTTTTTCTTTCTCTTTCTCTTTCTCTTTCTCTTTCTCTTTCTCGCTCTCTCTCTCTCTCTGTCTCTGTCTCTGTCTCTGTCTCTTTCTCTTTGTCTCTCTCTTTCTCTTTCTCTCTCTCTTTCTCTTTCTCTCTCTCTCTCTCTTTCTCTCTCTCTCTCTCTCTGTCTCTCTCTCTCTCTCTCTCTCGCTCTTCTTTCTGCAACTTCTGCTTTTTAACTTTTCCTCGCTTGCTTTTCGCTCTATTTCTCCGCTGTCCCTTCTCTCCCCTTCCTGGTTCCTACCTGTCCATTAGTAGAAAAGAAAGCAAAAAAAACTCACGAGAACGGAAGAGCTCTCTCCTTCCTGTTTCCTACATTCAAGTTAAAAAGGAAATCAACGAAACGATAGCGGAAGAGAGGTGAGAGAGGAAGGACATGACGTAAGACGAGTGAAGAGGAGGTCGTGCGAGAGAGTGAAAGATGGAGAGAAACAACAAAGACAAGGAAGGAGGAGGTGATGAGAGAGCGGGCCTCTTGCTTGCCCTGAGCTCTTCCTTGAGGCTTTCCCTATCTCTCTGCTTTCGATTATTTCTTTGTCTCACCTTTCTGGCTTCTCTTTCTATTTCTCCGCATTCCTTCCTGGTTCCTAGCTTTCCACCAACAAAAGAAAAGATTTTGAAGGACAGAAGGCGAGTGAAGAGATGAAATCCTCCTCCGAATCTCGCGGCTACCAGTCTACCAGTCCTCTTCTCCTTTGTCTCCCCACCACTAATGAAACAGGAGAGAAGAACAAGGAACGAACAGAGGCGGAGGACAAGGCGAGTGGAAGAGAGGTGAGAGGAAGGACAGAAGGCGAGTGAGGAGATGAACTCCTCCCCCGAGTCTCGCGGCTACAGGTCCTCTTCTCTTTTGTCTTCCCACGCAAGCTCGTCTTGGGGTATTGAAACAGGAGAGAAGAACAAGGAATGAACAGAGGCGGAGGACAAGGCCCTGCTGCAATCTTCATCTCCTCCTCTGTTCATCTCCTCCCCCCGCTCTCTCCCTTTGCTCTTTCTCTCTTGCTTTCTCTCTTTCTTTCTGTTTTTCTTTTTGTCATTCTTTCTGTTTTTCCTTCCCTGGCTCTTGTTCTCCTTCTGCCATTCTCGGATTCGCTTCTCTTTCTATTGTCTTATTCCCTTATTCCCTTGAGAAGGCAGGGTGGGAGAAAAGGGAGGGGAAGGAAGAGGGGAAGAGAAGGGAGAGCGAGAGTAGGAGGAAGATCAATATCAAGTCAACGGTAACAAGCGGGAAGAGAAGCGGAAAAGGGAATTTGCAGAAGTAGAGAGGAGGGAAAGAAAGAGCGAGAGAGAGAGAGAGAGAGAGAGAGAGAGAGAGAGAAAGAGAGAG